ACATATACACACATGCATATATACACACACATACACACCACACACACACTCACACACACCATTTACATATACACACAGGCATACACACACATGAACACACACAAGTGCATATACACACACATGCATGCACAGCACATACACATACACACACATACACGCCACACACACATGCACACATATATACACTACATATACACACACCACATATATACATATACATGTGCGTATATGCAAACATGCACACACATACACAGGCATACATGCATATACACACACATGAAAACATATGCCAAGTATATAATTAATACATGTCATTAATAACTTAACATAAAAGTTAGTTGTTAAGTAATAAGTGCTAATATTGAAGGAATGTGTTTAGGAGCCAGTGTACAGCTTAGCTTACTTGGGAAAGGGGTTTAATTTGGTAATTCCTAGCAAGATTAACTTTAACTTAGGCTATGACCCTGAGCCCCCATCAACGCTGTTCAATATAGATGCAATACTCTTCATGGATCACTTTAAATGTGGAGTAGCCACCTTTTTAAAAAAAAAAAAAAAGAGAGAGAGAAATCAGATAAAATTATCTTTAACAGTGCATCTGATTTAATGCGATACATCTAAAATTTTGTCAATTTTAACAGGGAAAAAAAATACTTGGAAATGTTAAAAAATATTTTGCACTTTCCAATAAGCCTTTGAAATCCACATAGTACATGTCCAATCTGTCATCATGCTCTGATCCGATGCAATAACTAACGTAACGTGTAGTCCTTCTTAGAACGAAAAGGGAAATGGTTTACACAGTGTCTGGCGTTTTCCTTTTCTCAATTTAAATCACATAAAATTTAAAGTTGAGTTACTGAGTCCCGCTGGCCAGCTTTCAGGAGTTCTGTGTTCAGTGCGTATAGGTCATGAGCGAGACACTGGTATTCATGTCTAACTGCTCAGAGCTTAGCACAGTGCACGCCTAGAAACAACACAGGGGGCTGGGCAAAGGCCAGGTCTTCACTTACCTTGCAGCAGCCGATCCTTGAATCACTTCATATACAAAAACTCCAGAACTCACATCAGGGAAATCTGGATCTTGCCTCTTCATTTCCTGAAGGAGGCTGGGAACAGTATGAAGGTTAGCAAACACAGCGTTCCCCTGAGGCTTGGAAAAAGATTTCCCCTAGGAGGCACAGAGCCTATCTCTTCCCCATCTGTTTAGCTGGAGACTGGCAGGCACTCAAGCAAATCCCACCCAGCCAGTCGCAAGCCATCCCTGCTGTATGCTGTCCCCTGCTCCTGCAGGCCAAGGCTTTGCATCTCTGTACAACCAGAATGAAAGACTCTGGTAAAGGCAGAGGGAGACACAGTCCCAAAACAAACAGAATCTGTGGTCACAAGGGTCCCCAAATGCTTTTGTTATCCTGGTAGGACTGCCAAGTGACAGCTTGTACCTCTGAGACACTGTTATCTAATGCTTACTTTAGAGTGAGGGGCAACATTCGAAGACCCAGGTATTTCTTCTGCAAAGGAGCCTTTCCTGGAAAGGGAAAGCATGATGTGTAACTGGCAACAAAACTTGTTTCCATTTGGCATCACTTAAGAGACCATCTAGATCCCAGAATCTCGTTAGTACATCCGGTCTTGTATACCGTCTGCTTCAGAGCATATGATGTGGTCAACAGACACATCTCCAGCCAATGGGTTCACTTCTGAATATTTCTCAGATGAACAAGCATTTCTGTGTATGTCTCAGATTGAGTTTTGTGCTTAGTCCCCCAATATGGTCACCCAACCCCTGTTACAGATCTGAGAGCCAGTAACTTGACACCATTAAAAAGCCATGCTCTAACAGGTGGGAGTGTGCATGAAAAGGGCCAAAGTCTCCCACCTCCCTCACCTTTCAACTGGCGCTCATGATAGTCTGCCAGGAACTGTCTGATCCGATCTGAGGGGATCGCAAAAGAGATCCCTGCAGTCACCTTCAGAGTGTTTATACCAATCACATCGCCATCCTAGGAAGAAGAAACTTGATATTGTGTCACAGTCCCCTAACTGAACCATGCAACATAGGGACAAGCAGAGGAGAGTAGGGTCAAAACAGGAGGGGCAAAAGGAAATCCACTTCTTCATTAGGGACAAGCACATGTCCTCTTCCAGGGCAGTTAGGGTGACCAGGGAAGGGAGTGGTGCTTTATAGATACAAAAGTTACACTTTCTTCATATTTAAAAAGTCAATGGAGTTAGAGTTTCAGTTGGTTCCTATGAGTCATGCTCTAGCTGACCAATAAAAATCTTTTGTAAATTAAAAATAAAATAAAATAAAAAGTCAATGGAGTAGTTTTGTTGGGAACAAGCAAAAGAAACGTATTCTAAGCAATACTATTTCGTTTTTAGACTCCATTTAATTGTAGGGAGAAACTAAACTCAAGGTCCTAGGCCCTAGGGGAGCTGGGGACTTCCCAATAGCTGAACTGTTTCTGTTGTAAGGAACCACTTATCTGAATCCAGAAATCTCAGGGACAACCTGTAAGGAGACAGTTGTCTGAGTCCAGAAACCTCAAGGACAACTTCTCTATCTTGCTAGCAGGGTCAAACTAAGTTCATGTTCCCAGACCCAGGAACCAACTCGTAACCTCATGATGGAAACTCCCTTGCTCAACCCTTGTCAAGATATGATTGGACAGTGCTATAGCCCCACCCAGATTCCCATTTCTTTATGGTTTCATCCTTTAAATGGTCTCTTCAAGGTCATAGTTCAGCTCCCAAGTCTGTTCTGTGACCCTGATTGATCAGTAGAAACTTGACTACCATACACATCTTTGTCCTCTGCATTGACCTGGTATTTGAGTTATTTTTATGGATTTATGTTGGATTTAAGTGGATCCCGTGACAGGTTTAATCTTCAGTTCCTTTTTATTGTAGTAAGTTACATTAGTTTTTAAAGGTGCGCTATGGTTTCCATTTTGATACAAATAAGAACATAAGATACCAAAGTGACACACACCCCAGCACTTGATAGGTAGAGGCGAGAATATTAGGAGTTAGTTCAAGGTCATCCTCAGCTACATATTGAGTTCCAAGCCAACTAGAGCTCTGTCTCAAAAAAAAAAAACCCACAAGAACAATAGAAAAAATATTTCTGGTCATATTAAAATACAAGTAGAAACTTAGAAATTCTGGAGTATGGCCTGAAATTCTATATCTCAGCCCTGCTCTATGAACTTATTGGGAAGAAGGGTATAGACAGACAGACAGACAGGCGCACGTGTGCACACATACACACACACACACACAAATGTATATAGTGCAGAACAGGAATCACTCTGTTGGAGATGCTGTAACTCAGTGCCAGAGTGCTTGTCCAGCATGTACAAGGCCCTAGGTTCCATCCCAGGACTATTGGGGGGCTGGGTTATGTTTGAAAAGGAAGTAAAGGCTCAAGGACTTTTCAGAACCCCAAGGCTGAGTACTGTACTCATTCCTGTACATGTAAGTGAGCATCTCCAGTAGAGGCAGTGGTTACATTAACAATAAAACACATGGGGCTGGAGAGATGGCTCAGTGGTTAAGAGCACTGACTGCACTTCCAGAGGTCCTGAGTTCAAATCCCAGCAACCACATGGTGGCTCACAACCATCTGTAATAAGATCTGATGCCCTCTTCTGGTGTGTCTGAAGACAGCTACAGTGTATTCATATATAATAAATAAATCTTAAAAAAAAAAGAGAACAAATAAATAAATTATTAAAAAAAAAAAACAATAAAACACACAGTAGAACCATGGATTCTGGTTCTGGCTTTTCTGTCATCTGTGAGCAAGCTGAAGACTAAAATTCCAGAATTATATAATCAGTGTGTGTTGATGGGGAATCGTTCATATGCAAAAGCAAAGGTTTCTCAAGGATGTACACAACATAGCAGAGTTGGCCTTCTGGTTGTAGCCTGAGATGAATCTCCTGGATAAGTATCCAGTGGCAACAGAAAGCACGTAAAAGATAAAAACTCAGAGCCGCAGCCAGGTCCCTGGTGCTCTTGGTGGGATGAAACCACATACCAACGGGCTAAACCCATCACGGACTCTAAAATTTTCCCTAACCATTTACTAAAGACCCCAAAATAAAAGCCATCACTCCTTAGTCTCTCTGGAGACTGTCACCCAAGTCTACATTGCAGATGTTAAGACATTAGTTTAGAGTTAGGAAGAAACACGAAGCAGCAAGAAAAATAGCCACTTACCAAGTTCACCAGCGGACCCCCAGAATTTCCGTGCTAAAGGCAAGTTGACAAAGCCATCAGTTAGCAAATCGATACATTCCTCCACATCATTTATATGTTCCTAATGAGTTTTACCAGAGCAGCCTGCTTCTCCAAAGCAGGTAAAAACATGCCCCTTACCTTCCTAATCCTAAAGTTGGGGTGGGTACGGGGCAAAGCAGAAGGACCCCACACTGTACCAGCAGTGACCTCTGTCACCATCCCTGAGTATGGTGCTGGTTAAACCAAACACTCAGCTCTAGCCACAGGGCATCCAACCACGCCTTAGGGTTGACTTCTGAGGGTCTTCAAAAAAAAAAAAACCATGGGAAAGAGAGATCACTCTAAAGCTTTTTTCTTACTACATCCTGGCAGTATCCTCTGGGCTGTGAACAGACTCCCAGCGTGACTTACGTTAATGATGGCATCCGTCTGGATATAGTCTATGTCTGAATCCTTCAGTCCCAGCTCTCTGCCGCCTCTCTGTGTGGTGCTGACGATCCCTGCAGTCACGGTGTTCTGCAGAGAAAATGGGCTGCCCAAAGCCACCACAAACTCTCCAGCCCGGAGGTCAGAGGATCTTCCCAGCAGCAGAACTGGAAGCTCAGTCTGCACATGCCCATGAGGAGCAGAGAAAAGAAAAATGGCAATGAAGAATACAGTCAACTGATATCTGCTGATGGTGACACTGACCTGAACCAGCACATACACACATACACACAAACATACACACACACATACACACACATACACACACATACACACACATACATACACACACACATATATACACACACATACACACACATATACACACACACACACATATACACACACACACCACACAGTTCTTTGCCTTCCTTCTTCCTCAGATAGAGTCGGGTCCCACCAAACTTTCCCTTTATTAAGATAATCAAGATCATCTCTAAGATTGGAATTTTACTTCTAGCTGCTCGGGAGATGGCTTAGAACTGTGGCTCACAACCTGTGGGTCACAACCCCCACAGGAGTCATATATCAGATATCTTACATATCAGACATTTATAATTTATAAGCATAGTAAAATTACAGTTTTGAAGTAGCAATGAAATGATTTTGTGGTTGGGGGTCATCACAACACAAGGAACTATATTAAAGGGTCCCAGCCTTAGGAAAGCTGAGAACCACTGGCTTACAGGTTAAGAGCATGTACTGCTCTTCCAGAGAATCCACGTTTGGTTTTCTGTACCTCTATTGGGCAGTTTATGACCACCTCTAACTCCAGCTCCAGGAAATACAACTTCCTCTTCAGGCCCCCATGGGCACTTACACTCACACAGACACATACACATAATTAAAAATAAAATAAAATTTAAAGCTGAAGTTGTGTAGAAACTATTATAAGTGATCGTGAAATGGCTGGCATTAGACATTCATTTAGCCCCATCTCTGCTCAACCGTTTCTTGTCCAAGTCACAAACAAGATGGAGATGACCCAGAATAGCATTTCTCAAACTGGACTGTGTTCACCAAACTCTTAGGGGCTTATCAGAATGCAGACTCTGGTAGATCTGGGTGTGTCTGGGACTCAGGGTTTCTAACACATCCCCCGGTGCAGACCATGTGTCTACAGCAGCAAGAAGCTCAAAATGTTCTTAGCAGGATTAAGTACATTGCAAATGACTTACCCAAAAGATACATCTGTTGAAGAAGAAATCATAGGAGGGGAAAAAAAGGGGTTGAGGAGTGGGGTTGCTAAGCAATTAATAGAGATTGTTGAGGATATTCTGATGGTTAACAGAAAACAAAATAAAAACATCCCTCAGCCAGGCCTCCTCCGGTGAAGCACCCAGTTTGGGTTTCCTGTTTGCCGTGGCAGAACACCTGGCTCCAGGCTTCTCATTCCTGCTGTCTGGTGGCAGTGACAGGTCAAAAAGACTGGAGTCATGCTGGGTGGACCCTGGGACCTGACTACACTTACAAGGCCCCATGGATGGGCCTAGAATCAAGCTAGAGGTCACAAGTACTGGACATGTACAGATCTCCCCATCTCCACCAGGGCAGGAGATCTGTGACAAGGTGGCTATAGACCTGTAGATCTCAACTATTGGTTCAAGTAGGCCTCAAGACCTTGAAGCCTGAGAGCTAGGGAGGAGCCAGAGTGGAAAGCAACTTGAAGGGGATCTTCTCTGGGTCTTTAGCTGCCCACCGAGCCAACTCGAAGGTTGAGGAGGTAAAGTCGAAACCAAACACTCCAAGAGTTCTAGGATATGGAAGCCCTCCAGAAAGACCTGGGGTACTCCGTCAAGCTGCTAAAGCCAACGAGGATAATGTTGGGGAGCACCCAGGCTGATGTAGGGGCACCTGGGCATTCTCTTCAGAAAAGTATTCAGCCACTTTGATGCTCTGCAACTCGGTCTCAGAGTCGTGTGAACTGTACCCCCTGCTGCAGAGGTGAGCAGAGGAAACTGATTTGGGAGAGGGAGAGAGAGAGAGAGAGAGAGAGAGAGAGAGAGAGA